TGACACTAACTCCAGGGTCACATCATTATGATAAGAGTAACAAACAAATCGATTCTTTTTTATTATTTCGCGAATATATTTTAAATAAATAATACAAACAATGAAGTAATTATAATAAGATTTTTTTTGTAATCAATGATAACCTGTGCGCTAGAGATGAAGGCTTTTAATACCACTTAAACACGACTTGTATTTATAGAAAAAATTGACAAAATAAACACAAAATGAATAACAAATGCACAATAATAGAGAAGCTAATGTATTGTATTTGTTAAACAATTCTTAGATATACTTATTATTTGTTTTGATATTATAGAAATAGAGTTCGCATGAAGTACAAAATTTATTTTTTATAAACCTTGTACTAAATACAGAATTTTAATATTTAACAGGATCATTTAAAAAACGAATTTAAATATACTGTATAAATTATATCGATTAAGATATCAATATATTGGTAAAATATCCATTATTTAAAAATATAGTGCAAGTACATTATATAATTTCTCATCAACATTTTTTATGATTTTATAAAATCAAACAAAAACAATATTTTAATGCAATATATTTTTACATACATTTTATTTATCATCTATATCAAAAATGTATTCAAAAATATTAGGATTCATTTCTAAACGAGAAATATGAATGAATGCAAACTTTGTTTAGAATTAAATATACGAAAGAATTTCTAGACTTTTGAAACCAAACCAATAGATGACAACAGAAGAGAATATTTGTCGGAATCTTATTGAGAATGAAGTGAATTGAGAGCACAATCGATGGGCAGTGGAGTAGTGATTGTGAACACAGTCTCTATTGATCCGCATTGAGGAGAACCAATGGAAGGCCTGTATTAGCCGTATAGACACGGATGAGACGAGTGATTGGCTGCGCATCGCGTGGTCTGCGATATACTTGTGATGCCATAAAAGACACGTGCATTTGATATTATCATTGCATTTGATGTGCAGATATTAGCAGACAGTAGTCGTACGCGAGATATGAACTTTTCAAGTGTTTCCACACATCCCACCGATCACTCCATTACTAATTTGTCAGCAGATCTGTCGACAAGAAACCCATTGAACTACTCTTCTATCGATTCATCGCCGCCTCCGGGAAGCGGTCGCTCCACGTCGTCGCCACCCACGGGTCCGCCGGCTTTCATGATGCGGTCGGCGGCCGAGAGGTATCAGAGGACCCCCAAGTGTGCCCGTTGTCGCAACCACGGCGTCGTCTCGGCCCTCAAGGTTTCACACCTTTCCTCACATTTTATAAGTTTTTCTTTCTCTTAGATCAATGTCTTTCCCATTTCACACAATTGTTGCCAATCTTTGCAAACTTAATCAGAGCTTAATTATTAGGGACACAAACGGTACTGTCGTTGGAAAGACTGTTCGTGCGCTAAATGCACTTTGATTGCAGAGCGGCAAAGGGTTATGGCGGCACAGGTAGCTCTTAGGAGGCAACAGGTATGCAAAGCTCGCTCGGCTTTTATGCAAACATTTTGTAAGCAATTTGTCGGATTAGGCACAAGAAGAGAATGAGGCGCGAGAGTTAGGTGTGCTCTATGGGTGCCACGAGGGGCTGTTGGCTATGCATAGGGCCGGCTTCACTTTCTCTGCCGCTATGTCCCAACTAATCCAAGTGAGCATATTATAGCATTATATCTCGCAATCATACTCAAGTGTTGTGTGTATTTGTTTCATTCAAATCTTATATAAAGGCTAACAATAGGCGAGGACTTCCTCAGGTGGACAGTCAGGAAAAGCCTACCCCTGAGTGCTCTTCAACTTCTGCAGAACCAAACGGTGGCTCCAAATATACAACTAATGCTGAAAAATCCTCGCCGTTGTCCATGGATTTAAGAGATAATCAACACTCAGCTAAGGATCAAAATAGCTCCTCGAAGACAGGTTTGTCTCAATTTACTGTCAAATCTTAAGTAATATATCAAAAGCTTTTGAATAGAAATGTTGTTTCTTTAAGTAGTGAATGATTGCAGTATTTATTGTGTTAATAATCAATACAAACAATTATTTGCATCAAAGCTAGAGAGAGAGAGAGAGAGAGAGAGAGAGAGAGAGAGACTAATCTTATTTATGCGAACAAATAATTTGTTAGAAAACTCGTCAATGAGATTGTGTTGACATGTAATGAAAGCAATAGTAATGCATTGAAAGGCATTCATTTGTTGGTTGCTTTAAAGTGGATTAATTTGTAACTTTGTATTTGTGGCATTCAATGGCATTGAATTTAAGGTTGAAAATGAATAAAAAGTTAAGCTCCAGGTCTTTGAATGGTGACTGAATGGCAGGGTTTGGATGAGATAGTGACAGGAGAGGTTCGGCAGCTGTCCCTCTCGTTCAAGACTTAGTTGTCAAAAATATGTCATAATTGGAGTGCGAGGCAACAAATAGCAAAAAATAATAGTTAGCACAAGAGTTTGAAGGGCAAGTCATCACAGGTTGACGTTTGCATCAAATATTTGGCAAAACTTTCCATTTTTGACGATTCGATGAGAGGTTAGGACTCGAAATATTGAACAGAATTATGAGCACAAGAATTGTCAAAAAGAGCACTAAAGAGCACCGGAATAGCTAAATGAAGGCATCTTATCAAGTGTATGGACTCTTGCTGTCGAGTTTGAGTTCATTTTAAAGTTAGTATTCGTGTGTTGTATTGTCGAGAAACTACTCATGAAGACTACTCCTGAAAACCTCGTATTTCTCTATTCAATAGATTAGCCCCTCTTTTATTATATTATATACTGTTATTGAAAGTACACATTATATCAGCTGCGACTTCACATCATATACTGTATAATAGAGATTCTGTACACTTCTCTCTACACAACAACTACTTATCAAAGTTTATAATTTCAAAAACTCTTGCCATAGGATAGACACTCCTCTCCCCCTCTCCTCATCATTCATACACTCTATGTATAAAAACTCTGTTTAAAAGAGAAACGAAAAGAACTTTTTGAGTCAATGAATAGATTTGTTGAAAAGAAAGACAGTTAGAAGTATGCGATTTGATGTGTGCTCTATGCCTACCATAGCCTACCGGTGCAATCACTGCTCAATCACGTCATGGTAGGTCTGGACTCTCCATCAGTCCATTGTCTCTTAGGCTACTGTGTTCTCTCAGTCCCACTAAAAAATTTCATATATTTTATGCTTCTTTTGAATCAAACTGACAAATAAGACATTACTTGTAGACACTGTTTATTATAATGTTTTGTGGCATTCATTTGTAGCTAGGCTATTCAAAAGCGTTTGATTGTTAGTCTATTCAGGTTTTTAAATAATAAATTCATAATAACAACACTAATACTGTAGTTATTTGATCAAACGAAACATCACTTGTTGTCATCATATGTCACAATCTAATCTATTTTACCGATAAATTCATTTCCAATATGTTTCTCATCCAATACCCATTCACTGAAAATATTATAATTAAAAATTATTACTTCTTTTATATGAATTGAGTGGCACTTGAGATGAGCACAAAAAGAGGTCAATAAGCTTACAAAATTGAAATGCAATAGAAATTGTGAATTATATTAACGGCTTTCAAATGGTCATAATTGGATCAAATTCTTAAGTACAGTGTTGGCCATCAAAATGTTTTCCCAAAACTCTTTCGTCCATCACTTTAATAGAAAACAATTTTTATGTGAAATTTTCGTTTAGTTGCAAATCATAATAAAGAAATATTTGGATCGCTTTTATATATAGGATCGCATATCTATTCAAGTTAAAGATATTGCACGAATAAAACGTTAAATTATGAGTAAACCTATAACTTAGAACATAATAGTAAAAAAGCATATCATATCATATAATGCAAGCAATATTGTAGTCTATTCTCTATTGTTGTCTATTCGCTAATACACTGTTCTCTGCACTCATGTGTTATGTGTTCTCACAAAACAAAATATAATTTAATGGTATATTTGAAGAATGATAGATAGACAGGAATTTCAACACTCTTGGAGAGAGAGAGAGAGAGAGAGAGACAGAAAGAGAGAGAGAGAGACAGAAAGAGAGAGAGAGAGAGAGAGAGAGAGAGACTAATCTTATTTATGCGAACAAATAATTTGTTAGAAAACTCGTCAATGAGATTGTGTTGACATGTAATGAAAGCAATAGTAATGCATTGAAAGGCATTTGTATGAATGATGAGGAGAGGGGGAGAGGAGTGTCTATCCTATGGCAAGAGTAGAGAGAGAGAGAGAGAGAGAGACAGAAAGAGAGAGAGAGAGAGAGAGAGAGAGAGAGAATAATACTTATTAGGAAAGATTTTGTGAGCCATCTCTCATAGTTTATGAACAAATTTTTGGAAGTTTTCTTAAACGGACACACAAAAGATGTGACTTAATATTATAAGCACTTTATATATATAATATAATACTGACAATCATCTCACTCTCCCTCTCTTTGAGAGCAATAAAAATATATATTATAGTAAATATGTTTATATATAATAATATATAGTTATTGGAGTCAAACAAAATTAACAAATTTATATTAATATAATACTAAAGCTGTGATAAATTAACGCCAAATTTAATATAGTCGACACCATCTCTCACTGTCTGCACGCTCTCTCCCTTCTCTCCTCCCTTTCCTCCCTTTCCATCACATACTCCACAGTATTGCCTCTCTTTCTCTATTGTAAAGTTTCCATTGACTGTATAATAAATGCTTTCGGAAGCGATTTAATAGTTAGAAAGGAATTCCAAACATTGGATAACTTTTAAAATGAATAATTTTAACACTATTTGCATACGAAATGCCTTTTTATTTTAATAAATGCAGACCAAACACATTATTAACTCCGAGAGAAAAATGTCACTCTCTATATTAAAATTTATAATTTTTATTTCAATATAAATGATAATAAAAACACTTCATATGAATAAATTCCAAAAGTGATTGAATGAAAGGCGATTCACTTAATTTATAGATTAACAATACCTCCATATAATACACTATCAACGATATTATACTAGTATTCTACGTATTTTTCTACACATAATTAAACAAATAGAAAAACTTTATTGAGTCATAAGTCGCATAAAAAAGTTATTTCTTATAACATTGTTATTGTTTTAGTAAAAACCCATTCATCACAACATCAGTCCTGTGAAGATCTAAAGTCAGAAGAAAAGACACAAATGACTCAAATTCCCAGCGCTTTGCCGCCACAGCCTTCCCTATCAGACACACCGATTGAATCAACAGTTCTCTTGTCTCGAAGTCCTGTCACCGACTCTTCCATAAGTCCACACAATTCTGATCCCAAACTCACACAACAGTCCAAAGCAATCAAAACCAATTCAAACAAATTCATGATTCGCAGACATCCCTCACTCATGCCATCACCGCCACCGACGACCACTGGACTAACTTTACCTGAAATGGGAAACAATACTTCTCCAGATTTCAGACCCGGACGACTCAGTCCTCTGGATGTAATCGCTCGCATATTTCCTCATCAGAAGCGTTCAGTACTTGATTTAGTACTTCAGGGCTGTAATGGAGATGTAGTCAAAGCCATTGAGCACTTCTTTTCCATAAACGAAGCCGTCTTATCATCGACGACCTCTCCCTATCACCGGGACTTCGGTGCCTCGCCCACCATCGCCCCCTACCCTAACTCCAGTGCTCTCCACTATTTATTTCATCCGAACAACGCGTTCACCGGTGGGTCGGCCGGTGTTGGCTTTCCTTCGGGTTGCAGTCAATTCAGTAACACGATGTCCAGCGCAGCCGTTTTGCTACAGAACGGGGGCACTGATAGCCCCTTCCAATTGCATCGAAGAGCCACAACACAGGAGACGGCAGTCGATCTCTCACCTGAAGAGAGCTCGTGGAGGAGCAGCCCTTCCAGTAGAGGCAGTAAATGCACGGATTGACAGCCTATACATTGCTTCTCTATTATATCGGATACAAAGTATTCGTAAATATGTGTAAGTTTTAGAGATGTAAACTAATTTGTATTATTTAAATTACAGTAATTATCGTTTAAATATTAAAACACATATAACTTGCTAGCTAATTTTATCATTATTTGACATTTATAATTTACTTCATTAATTATCTGTTAATATTACAAAATAATTTTTAATATTTCATATGTTTAATTTTAACTTTAGATTAACTATAGTAATTGTGTGAATAGTCTTATTACTTAAATAATTTAAATATCTTACTCCTTAAATAAAATATAATGAACAAAAACCAAACTACAAAACATATCATAATATGTACACTAAATTTATTGCTTTACATTATCATAGTATAAACATCTTTTGAATGAAACCAAAATTGTGAAAATACAGTAAAGTATATTTAACAACTAAATCCTTTAACTAAGTAATCCATTTAACAAATAAAAGATGTGTTAAACTGTAATTCAATCGTTGAAAGTGATCTCGATTTCACACCTGCGACCACACGTCTAAGCATTTTGAACCATCGGTTCCGGCGTTGATGTCTTAACTCAAGAGTTAAATAGAGTTTGAAATTGAAACGCAAAACTTGTTAAACACAATCACGTATTGAAGTCTCGTTTTACTGCAACCTATTGTGTGTCCCAATTGATGTGCAAAAGCGGTGATCTCTGTCCCAGAATGTAATCCCGTGTTATGAACTCAAACCAATTCTGTTGGAATAGTATTCTTATAGTCGAGTCTTTACTTTAAATTCTTTGTTAACTTTTTTGTCAACTATTTTCGCTTTTATTCGGAAACATTCAACCAGTTTTGTATTCAATTCACTCCTATTTTTAGAGTTCATTCAATGGGAATACACTCTAATTATCATCAAATTTAAACTATTTTTACTTTCAAACAGTTTAGTCAATTGTATGCATAGTATGCGGTACTGTCACTGCACCTGAGCCTGAATACTAGTCCCCCGATATATCCATTACAATGAATTGTAAGCAATGAGAAACGATTAGCGCTAATCTTATTATATATACTCAGTATATCTTTTCTACTAAAATCATTGCCACAATGGGATGAACTCCGGGATCAAAAGAATTTACAATAATATCACTAAATATTGGAGAGAAGCGGAAGAATTGAATGAAGAAGGGGTGACACAAATCAAAGAAAAACCACTTCTTTGTTGTAATTTTTACTATTTTTTGTTGCTTTTCAATAGAATTACAAAACTGAGAGAATACGGCAAAAATATAGCGTACAGTATAGCACTCACTGTACTGTCTGTCCTGTATTTGCCGATTCTGTACTGTTGTTCAATACCTATAAAATATGGTAGAAATAAGTCAATACTAGCGCACAATAATGGGAATGAGAGAGAGAGAGAGAGAGAGAGATAGAGTTGCACTCAATATATATTTGACAGTATTTCACATCCGTTACTCAATTGCATTATATTTCGAGTCTTAAGAGAATATACGGCATAAAGAATATAAATATAATAAAAATAAGACCAAAACACTAAACCCCAGACTCTGACCAAATAGTGCTCAGAGAAATTGAAAGGAGATATTCTGACGGATATATTCATACGAACAAAATGCCTGACCATTCATTTGGTCATATTTTGACAATTGGATCAAATACTGTATAACAACTCATATAGTGAGCGAACAAATGAATACTACAATAGCATTCAAAATAAAGCCTTTAGGGCTAAAATTGCATATTTCTCAGACTTTTCACAAGTGTTTGAATACCTGTTGAGTGGCAACAACTGTGATATGTTTACTGTATGGCCCTCTTATGTAAGGCATTCATGTTATTATTATATTATATTATTTTCTATTTAATATCGAATTCAATATATATTTTCAACATGATTATAGAAAAACTTTTTTATTAATAAAATATTGTATAGCACATTGTATTTTCAGTACCATTTTTAAAGTTCGTTCAATCGATGCGACTATTTATATATATTTATATGAAAACTTAGTTAAGGGAAGTCTTATTGAATATTAGCGGTCACTGGGAGGCACAGACCGAATCGAGTGTTCGCCACAATGTTAGTGCCTTTGGGTCTCATTTCAAGACACAAAACACTGTGGACTAAGTAGCCCTCCATTCACCCAATGTGTCGCTCAATGGTCTTAAAGTAATGTTTGTTAAGTAAAAAATGGAAGTGCGCTCTACTCCCGGCCCCCTATACACTCTCTCCATACTCTACTCTATTTGTTATCCCGGCATAAAAGTTATGCATATATTTATTGTGTTCACTGTTTCTAATGCAAACCATTTTGAGATTTGATTCCCAGCAAAAAATATTTATTATTATAAAAATATCCGTTCCGTTAAAAAGTTTTCAATGACAAATACAGCCAATAATCAAACAAATGGTCAGACAAACAGTGTATTACAATAGAAACAGACTTTTTTATTTAAAAACATATTACGTTATTCTTATACATGTATATTATATAACATACAACTGGCGATTAGATCGCAATGGACTAAATGTATAAAAAATATCTCATTTGATGACTAATATTGCTGAGAATTAATTACTTTTCTTGTATGGAAATTTAATTTAGTAATAAAATAAGTACTTTAAATATAATAGTGAAAGTTTTATATTAAATATGGATATGAATTCTAAATGATTGACGTCAAACATATTTTAACGATAATAAGACTGACATTCAATTTTAAATGACTTTTCGACGCTTTTAAAAAGTCTATAACAGTATGAACTTATCTGAAAACTTATGAACAAAAATTTTTGTGAATTTTTATATCACTTAATATATTGTGTGTTCTGTAATGTATTATCTATTATATGGCACAAGTAAAGAGTGTAATAAAGTATATCAGAATTGATGGTAGTATTGAATGTGAGAAAATTTTATGTAAAAATGGTCATCATTCACATCATTCACATTCACACACTTTATACAAGAGCTCAATATTAATATTGAATATTTTGCGCTCATTTTTCGCATGAATTGAATGTCTTAAGAAAGCATTGCATATAAGATATAAGAATCTTATTTCAATTTTGCACATATTATCACCCATTTATCAAACTATAATATATTCAATATATTTCAATTCCTCTCTCTCTCTCTCTCTCTCTCTCTCTCTCTCTCTCTCTCCACTGTCTTTAATATTCGACTATTTTGTACAATACTTTTTTGATGTGCACATTCATTTTATATGTTGTTATCATATTTTTAGTACTGTATTATAGAAAAACTTACCAAAACTTGAATATTACAATATATTGTATGGGCGGTCGGGCACCCATACCCAGTACTGTATGGATATTATATATGGGTAGCAGACAAGTGAATATAGTTAAGGCAATATAACTAATATAAAATGTAGATGAAAACAGTCTGTTTGTGACATTACAACTCTTCACAGCACTACTACTGTTAATATATTCTGCACTTAAGCACTGGTATGGGTTGTATGGGTTGTCTATGTAATGGAAATAATGGAACATTTATTCTAACGGTTTGCCAAACCATCGACTATTCACTGAATTAATAGAAACTGTTTCTGTAATTGATTGCTAACAATATCATGAGTACTATCTCTCTCCCAAAGTGAATAGTGAATCACATTTCAACACTACTTATTAATATAATTATTTTCAAAGAATCTCTTTTACTTCACACACTTGTCATTGTGTTTATGTTCTCACTCCCTATAAATATTAATTATTTTATCATTTGTTTATTGATATATTTTTCAATTAAATCTCAATTACAATCAAACTATTCACTGTATACATAAACAGTAAATAATAAAATCATATAACAGTAAAACCCAATTCTTTATTTATGTTTTCAATCAACATTTACTCCATAAAAGCTAACGTTATTTGCTATAAAGTTTGATAAATAAATAGCAAGTTGACGTTTGCTTTATTTTTAGACCTACGACAATTATTTCAATACTTTTACTATTATAATTATTTTAAATAAAGTTTCACTTATAGTTTAGCTGTAATAACTTTGAATAGTGTGTTCTAGATGATTTAATTTGATTCTAAATCTTTGCATATGTATTGGATTATGAAAAGTCTAAATTTTATGAATTATATAGAGTTATAAATGGTGAACGGATTAACCAGAATTACAAACATTTCAAATGAAAAGTTTAAAACGTGCTGACAATTTGGTGTCGGGAATATACGTCAGTCACAGATATCATTCATTAGCACATGAATTAAAAGTAATTTTCCGCGACTTTGATTCTAATATATAAAAATCATATTTTTCCACATATATTACATCCAGTGCTTCAATTATACACGGCTGTCACTAACGGACCACAAAATATATAAGCAATACATAATGCTTTTTGATGTGATTTTTTATAATACTATTGTATATAAAGTTTTGGCACAGATTCAGTCAAATGTGAGAACATTTGTGATATAACACAACAATACTATTATATATGTGTATAGTTTAATGCATCCAATTATTGCTGCGATTCTTACCATACAATAGAAATTGAAGAGAATATAAAAAGTGAATGAATCGGAGCTCACATTCAAATCAATTGATGCTAAATACATATAATCTTGTATATTAAAGTGCTTTCGTCTCCACAAATCTTATACTTTACAAGAAAAACATAGTTTGTGTTATAAATTATCGACTTTTTAGTCTATAAACACGACTCATTCAAAGTCTTGTGTCTTTTGTGCAAAACTTTTTTAGCCATAATGTTTTTGCTCTCAAATCGCATAAATGGATGGTTCAGTACAATAGCAATTCAATACAGTATATCAATACTTGTGATCGACTAAATGCTAAGTGCCTCAGCCCTCACCCATAACTGCATACAACATGAGTATGTTTTAGACATTAACATAGCGGGCATAACACCACCATCCGAGGCATATACGAGAGGCACACGCTTTCTATGACCAAATTATGGAGAGAGAGAGAGAGAGAGAGAGAGAGAGAGAGAGAAATACTT